GTCACATAGACCAACCCTAGCAAAATGTAGGAGGGATGTGAATATGGCAGAAGGGATGGTTATCACTTCTCACAGTGTTATAAAAAGACTATAGCTTCCATTGGGGGTTCACACTCTCTATCTCTCTTATTCTCTCACTCCCTTGCACATCTCACTCTGGGAAAAGCAAGCTGTCATCTTGTGAGCAGCCCAGTGGAGAGGACCATGTGGTGAGGCACTGAAGCTTTCTATCAATAGCCAGCTAAGAACTGATGCCTACCGGCAACCATGAGAGTGTGTTTGGAAGTGGACTGTTCCACCCCAATGACCCTTGAGATGATTGCAACCCTAGCTATCAGCTTGACTACAACCTAATGAGAGACCCCAAGCCTGGAACTAATCCATTTCTGGGTTCCTAATGCTTGGAAACTGTGTAAGATCATAAACATTTGTTATTTGAAGGAACTGAATTTTGAGGTAATTTGTGACACGGCCATAGATAACTAATACAGTCAGTGGGGCTGCCTGTTTCCCCTGATGGGTACAAGATGGCTGCCGTAGCTCCATCCTCCATGTTCTCACAGGATAGCATCTCAGGCAGGAAGAAAGGGGGATGGGGTGAAAGGGGCTCTCCTTATGTACCTTTCTCCGTTTATCAAGGAGAAAAACCTTTGTTGGGAGCCACCCAGCAGATGAACCCTTTCTTCTCATTGGCCAAAACTGGGTCTTATGATGGACTCTAGCTGCAAGGGAGACTTGGAAATCAAGTATCTAACCTTTCAGCTGCTCTGTAGGGAAGTGGGCAAGGAACAGTGGGCTGGGAATGGCTGCTGTGTAGTAATAAGTTATCTACCAGCCCTTCTCCCAGTTTCACTTTGTCTTTGTTTCCATTTCTTTTTTTTTGGCCATGTGGCACAGCATACAGGATCCTGGTTCCCTGACCAGGGATCGAGCCTGCAACCCCTGCTTTGGGAGTGCAGAGTCTTAACCACTGGACCGCCAGGAAAGTCCTTTTTTTGTTTTCACCTGGCATCTTTTAACTTGTTCCTTCATACTCTGTATTCACAGTAACCGGAAGTTAGGCCTCCCTTAGATTCAGGTTAAACACCATTGGCAAGATTACTCATGGGCGATGCTGTGACCTTCATACTCTCTCACACCGAGAAACAACCATGTTCTTCACTCAAACATTTTACAAGATTTAAGTAAAGGGGGGTGCACCATCAATGAAAAGCTAACCCAGAATCTCAATGCCATCTTTTTCCCTGAGAGATGTGTCCTAGGTGGTCTCACATATGTTATATTTAGGGAAACTCTAGGTTCTTCTATAAGTTCCTTTTGGGTTGTCTTGTTGGAATTGTGTGTGATAAGCAGTCTCAGTTTCTTGCATGTGATTTCCTCAGAGGCTGATGAGTCATATGAGCAGCATTAACCTAGTGTAAAACACCTGAGAGGATTATGAGCTGACTTTAAAAATCAAATGCAGAAATGTCAGAATGTGATCCTTTCTTCATGGCACCACTTGGAGTTCTTAGGGCTTTGAGCATAATGTCAGGAACAATAGGAAATGAGACGAACCTTCTCAATCACTTAACACCAAGGAACTGAATGGGCGAGTCCTGCGGCCCGCCCCCAGCCCTCGTCAGAGGTGTAGAATACTCCACCAGGGTCAGCGCGTGGGAACATGTTAACAGTTCCAATGGGGGCTTCCTAAGTGCAATCGTGAACTTCTAGTTTGCTTGTGGCCTAATCCAACAGCCAGGACTGAAGAGCAAGATGCCAGGGACCGAATCAGGACACAGTGCTGGCTTTGAAAGGGTGGTGGGCCCCCAGCCTTCTCGAGGCCCTGCGGTCCATGTAAAACAAGTGGCCTTGCCTCCTATTTCACTGGGAATAGCAAGATGACCGGGAAGGAGCAAACCTGTCCAAGACTGTCTTCCTTCAACATGACCCTGTGCCCACCTCCAACTACTCACCCTTCTCTGCTACTCAATGGCAGGGGTCTCTGTCCCTGTCTCTGGAGCCTTCCCTGCCTCTCCTCCAAAGCTCCAGTGTCCTGCTGTCATCTCAGACATGTCCTAAAGTAAACTCATACTCTATCCAGTTTCCCCAGCTCTGTCCCAGTTTTCCCAAGACTGCCAAAGGCAGCCCCACCCCTCCCAGCACCCAGGCTAAAAATGAGGCATCAGCCACGACTCATCCTGTCCATCCAACCAGTCCCCAGGTCTTGAGAGTCTCTGAGGCAATGGCTTCATTAACTTATCTTTTGTCAGCCACCACCCTGGCTTGGCCACCAACATCCATAGGAGGTTACAGCACTATCCTCCTTCCTCATCCTCCAGCCTGTCTCATTGCCCTTCCAAGACTCTCCTGCCTGAGAACTCTCCTAGCTCCTCCTGCATGTTGCAAATGCAAATGCATCTGCTGACCCCATCTTTCTACTCCACCTTTTCTCCCAGGTCCATCTGTTCCAGAAGCCTTGGCCCTTTCTGACCTTTGATAATGAGACACACCACGTGCCAGGCATTTTACAGCTATATTTAAAATTTTACAGTTCCTGTACAGCATAGGCATTATTGTCCCTTTTTTTTTTTTTTTTTGCGGTACCCGGGCCTTGATACAACTGGTATTTAAAATAATTGCACAGAGGAAAAGACAGGATAAACCCTGGCCAAACCCATTTCTTGGCCAGCTGTGACACACAGAGTGCCCAGCCTGTAGTAGGTGCTCATTACTTTGCTTGAGCCGAGTGCAGTCATGTAAGACGTACATAAATTTGGATTCAACTCTCGTCACATGACCTGCCAACCATGGCCAAACACTGTGAAAGGGGGCATCCCTTATGGTCGTCAGCGGTTCCAGTGGGGTGGTTTGACCCCGGCGGGGCGTGCCCGGCAGGCGGACTCTCAACCACTGCGCCACCAGGGAAGCCCTATTGTCCCTTTTATAGATGAGGAAAACTGAGGCCTGGAGCAGTTACCACACGTCACACTGCCTATAAATAGCAGAGCTGGGCTTCAACCCACGTCTGTCTGTTCCAAGGCCCTCCATCCTGTGTAACTGGCTGCCATCACACCCCTTCCCTCTCTGTAAGGACCTCATGATGCTCTTGCCACAATACCCTCCCTCCTCCTTCCAGCTTCTTCAAACACCCCAACCCAGAGCTCTACCACATAGCTTCTCTAATGGCTCCAGCCCACGCCACTCACACTCATCTCTTAACTTTTCTGGCAGTAATCTCAGCCCTGCACAATTTGGTACTTAATTATAGACTGCCTTGTATGGGTCTCTGGCTATTTCTCATTTGTCTATCTTGTTCCCAAGAAGTGTAGGCGTCTGAGTTCGGGGATGGGTCTTCCACTCCCTCCCATCTCCCAGGACCCCCAGCGCAGAGCTGGACAGGCCAACCGGATTTCCCAGGAAGGAGGCAGGGTCTCAATGTTGCAAAAGCTGATTGGACTCCACCCAGCCCCACCCCACCCTTCACCCCAGCCAGTCGGTTGCCTCAAATCTTTGTGAACATACGTGAGCCTGCCCCGTGTGCGCGAGCACACACGTACACGGAAGCGCAGAGACACGGGCGAGCACGCGTTTTCTCTGTTGCAGGCACATTTAGTTAGGAGTTCCCTTCTCAAACAGAGGTAATATACTTGGAACTACCTACCTGAGATAGAAAACCCCCTCCTGACCAATCACGGGGCGCTGCCCCCAATGTGAAATTCCAATACGGATCAGTAAGGCGGACAGAGTTGGTGGGAGCTCCCCAGGGCGGGTTCAGCATGGCTATCACATCCTAACAGAGTATGGAGCTGGACTGGGGATTGGGCAGGGGACTTTGTGTGTCGATTCCAATTCTGATCCTGCCTCTAGGTGGCCTGGGGTGGGTGTTGAAGGGAGAGACGTGATCTTGCCACTTTGCTGCTTTGCGACCTCCTCAGGCAGTGAAATCTGCCGGTTGTAAGGAAGGCCCTCCTTGCCAGGGCCACGTTGCACAGCTCCAGAGGGGCATGACCAGTGCTCCCTGGAGCTAACCCTGGTCTCCCCGCCACCTCCCTTTGGGCTCCAAATCATCTCTCTGCCCTGACCCAGATGCCCCCATACCTGGCGTCCCAAGCTGTTCATCCTTGGGGTTAACTACTGGCATCTCAGACTTCTCATTTCAAAGTGAGAACAGTGCACAGTATGAAGCCCAAACAGAATGATCGAGATTCCAGATTGATTTCTTCTGGGACATTTAGGATACAGCATAAAGATTCAGGACTTGGAGAGAGGGCACTGACTAAGAGTGAGTGTGTCAGTAAAGGGCCAAGGAGAAAAGAAGGTGGGAGCTGGAGAGGCGGTGGTGGGTGGTGCCCCTGAAGCCAAAACTCTTTTCTTTACAACTTTGCTGGTGGCCAGTCCTAATATGTGAATTAAAAAGTGAATAAGCAAAGGGGCACTTATGTAAGAAGAACAAATAAAAATAATTGTGTAACACATCACACAAAGCCTGGAGAAGGATCCCAGGCAAGGGCATCGCTGTGGGCGCATGGGTGCTGCGAGCCGTGTTTCCCTCTAAAACCAGAGCCAACTTGGCATCTCTGCCCCTGTGGGAAGGGGATACCATCCTCCTGGCGGGAGGTCAGTTCCTTTACTGCAGTGTGCTGGGGAGGAAGGCGTCATCCCATAACCATCGTTGGAGGTTTTGCAACCACATGAGTGAACCCTTCAGGGCTGAAGGCTGAGCAGCGCGCGTGCAGGGCCAGGGCGTTGCTCACCCATCAGCGCTTCCTGCACCTCGTCCTGGGTCTGGGCCCTTTACCAGGCTTTGGGGCTGACTACTGACGGAGCTCAACAGGCCCAGGCAGCTGCTGCCTGAGCCACCCAAGGGTGTCCCAGCCGCCTGGGGAGAGACGGCCACATTCCAGGCTCTGGGCTGGCAGGGAGGCTTGGCAGCGAGTTCTGACAGGAGGGCGGCCTGCGCTTGGGCAGGCCAGCACTGAGGGGTCCCTCCCCACCCCGGGAGACCCCAGGCTGGGGAGATGGAAAAACAGGTGTTCAAGGGGGACCCAGATACCCCTCATTCCATCTGCTTCTCGGGCAGTGGATTCCTCTCCTTCTACCAGGCCGGGGTGGTGAATGCCTTTCGGGACCTGGCTCCCCGGATGCTGGAAACGGCCCATCGCTTTGCTGGGACGTCGGCAGGAGCGGTGATTGCAGCCTTGGCCACCTGTGGGATTGAAATGGGTAAGGCCTTTGTTCTATGTTCCATGGGGAATCTCTGGAGGGATTCCACAAAGCAGAGTCTGAGGATGGTTTGGGGGTGCTTCAGGGAACAAAGCCAGGCCTTCTGGGTGGCAGGAAAGGTGGGTTGAGTGGGACAGCATTTGAGGTTGGGGTCTGCTGGGTCCCAGTCTCTGACCCACTGGGTGAGCTTGGAACCCTTTCTCCCTCTCCCTCAACACCCTTACCTGCCATGCCCTTTCCCCCAAGGTCTGGGAGAGGGAAAAGCGGTATCTCTCTCAAACATCCTGGGCTTGGAAGTTTACACCATGACACAGTCATACATTGGGGTGAAGAGCTGCTCCTGCATGGCCTCGTTTAAAATGCAAATATCCTTGCAAAGGACAAACTGGCATGTTCATCATCTTGGTGGGGATGGATTCGTCAGACCAGCTTCCAGGTGGCTGGAGGTGCAAGCCCTGGGGCTGGAGGGATGGCCAGAGGGGCCAGCGGAGGAGGGAAACTGGGAAGGAATATGGGAGATCTCACTTTGCCTCCTGCCCCACTAGTCCAGGGGCCCCAGAGGGAAGGATGGGACCACACACCCAGAGGCAGAAACACCATCCCGTGTAAGAGGATTGGGCACATTCCGAGCAGCCCCACACAGCAGGCCCAGACCTGGTCCCAGAGCAGCCCTGGGCTGCCTTGGCTTGGGGAGGGGGTGAGCATTTATTCATTGGCTGCACTACCATTCTGTGCCAGCCTCTGTTCCAGGCACTGGGGACAAAATCCCTGCCCTCATGGAACAGAAATTCTAGAGAGAGGAGACACATAATAAGCACCCAAAAAGTAGTCTCATGACGTCATATCAGGAAGTGATAAGATCTATGAATAAAATTATAGCAGAGAAGGGTCAGAGAGTAAAATGAGGACTATTTTAGAAAGGGTGTCAGGGAGGCCGTTTGGGAGGAGGTGATGTTCAAGCAGAGACCTGAGTGTAACGAGAGAACAAGGCATTAGATCAGTAAGGAAGGACTGTTCCAGGTGGAGGACCAGCTGGAGAGCCTGTGGGGTTCAGGAGCAGTGGATGACGAGGAGGGAGGTGGTGGATAAGGCTGGAGGTGCAGGCAGGGGCTAGGTCACATGGGGCCTCATAGCCGGAGTATGAGCTCTGATCTCACTCTGGGAGAGTGGGGAGCGCAGGCTGCTGGGAGGGAGGCAAAGTGGGGAGGCAGCTAAGAGCACACGATCCACAGGGATTGGATCCCAGTGCTGGCACTTCATGATGTGGACCTGGCGCAAATTACTGGATGCTCTGTGCCTCAGCTTCTGCATCTCTCCGGCTGAGATTCTACTGGTATCTCATTCCCGGGGTTGTGAAAGGGTTAATGGAGCAAGTGAGTGAACTGCTTATCACAGTGCCTGGCACATGGCAAGCACTTGGTACATGTCAACTGCCTGGTTTGGGTTTTTAAGGAACCCTGGCCCGCTAGGGGGAGTGAGATGGAGGGGACAAGGGAGAAACAAGGAGAGCAGTAGGGGAAGGTTGTACATCGAGATGAGGGATGGGCAGGGCAGGTGCCTGGGCAGGGAGGGTGGTGAGAGGCGGTTGGATTTAGGATACACTTTGAAGGTAGAGCCAATGAGACTTGCTGAAGGGCCAGCTGCAGTGTGTGAAGAAAGGTGCGAGCAGGGCCCCTTCCTGCCTGGGGATCTGCGCTGGGTGGGAAGTCTTTGTCTCTGTTTTAAAGAATAATTGTAATGCCCATTCCCTGAGTACCTCTTTTGTGCAAGATATTTTTTTTCTAATAATTCACAAGTAACAAATTCTTTCTTACTGTACAGAATTCTCAAACAATGCAAAAGTATCTAGAGTTTTTTAAAAAAGCCTCTACTCACCTCCCCCTTGTCCCCAATCCCACTTTCCCTCTTGTAGCCAGTGGAAGGGCTCTGCTTGGATCCTTCTAGATCTTTTTTTTTTAATTTTTGCCAAGACATCTGTGAATGTAGCAGTTAATGTTTCAGTCACACCATGGACCCCACTCCCTGGTCCTGGAGTCACAGAATCCTACCCTTGGAGACACCCTGCCTCTGGGAGTCTCTCTCTTTCCGGGTACCTGTGTTGCTCACCTGCTCCATCGCTGCCGCCCTCCTCATGTCTTTAGTTCAACTTCTTAAAATACACCATCGTCTTAATCCTCAGGCATTCGAGGACTTTCAGAATTAATTCAAGTCAATCGATTCAATAAATACTGCCCCAAACTGACTTGGCCAGGCTGTGATCGATGTGGACAGCAGGGGAGAGGAACTCAGACCCATGAGAAGGACACCTGATGGCCGTGTAACCAAGGGCTGGTCCGTGTGCTGGACCGCATGCGTGCAATTGGGAAGGAAGGGTGACATGTGTGTGGGACTTGCTCTTTTCACTCAGCAGCATGTTTATGAGATTGATCCACGTCACTCCAGTGCACTTCATTCCTTTTAACTGCCATGCAATTTACTACTAACCAGCACTTTCTCTGTATCAGGCACTGTTCTAACTCTTTGGTGTATTAATTCATTCAGTCCTCACAACAACCCTGTGAGGTGAAAACTGTTATTATCTCCATTTACAGAGGAGGAAACTGAGTCACAGAAAGCTTAAATAACTTGCCTAAGGTGATACAAACATTACTTGGTAAAGCTGGTGTTTGACCCTAGCCCGGCCTTTAGGCCACTCTGCTTCTTGACAAAGCAGTGTCGGGGGTGTGGACGCTAGTTGTATGGATACCAGGGTCAGGGAAGCTTCTCTGAGCAGGTGGAATTTGCACACAGACCTGAAAGAGGGGAGGAAGTGAGCCACAAGAATATCTGGGGAGAGCATTCAATGAATAGGGACACGTGACTTGTTTAACATCCTGTCATCAGTTAGAAGCAGAACAAGAACCAGGACTCAGTCTCCTGACTTTCTTCAATCCTCTTTACCTCTTTTACGTCTTTCAGTGTTTATTCCATCAAGACTGTATCACGGTTCATTTAGTCATTCTGTTGATGGACACGGCCAAGTTTTTGTTGTTATAAACAACACTGCAATGAGCATCCTTGTTTGTGTCTCCCAGGCCCACATGGAATGTTTCCCTAGGGTACACGTCACATGAAATTAACCAGACTTGGCTAAATTACTCTCCAAAGTGGTTGTACCAATTTAACCACTAGCAGCACATATGAGTTTTAATTTCCCCACAATGTCATCAACCCTTGGTACTATCAGACTGCAGAGTTTTTTTGTTTTTGTTTTTTTGGCCGTGCTGCACAGCTTACAGGATCTCAGTACCCCAGCAAGGGATTGAGCCCAGGCCATGGCAGTGAAAGCCCAGAATCCTAACCACTAGGCCACCAGGGAACTCCCAAGACTGCAGAGTTTTAAGTCAATCTGATCAATGTGAAATTATATCTCATTTTATTGTGTTATTTAATCTGTACCTCCTGGTAACTAGTGATGTTAAGCATCTCTATGTATTTACCGACCACTTGTGTTTCCTCTTCTGTAACTTACCTGCTCATGACCTTTTCCTGTTTTTTCTACCATTATCCTTTTCTCTTTAACTTGTAGGTGTTCTTTATATAGTCTGTACATGAGTCATTTGTCAGTTATGGACATTGCAGATATCTTATCCCATTCCATGACTTGCCTTTTTATATGACCATGTCTGTTGTTACTCATAAAATTTCAATTTTGATGCAGTCAGATGTATCAATAAATCTTTTCCACTTACAATTTGTGTTTTTTAAAATCTTTCTTTGTTACAATGACTTCTATATTTTCTTTCAAAAGTTTTAAAGTTTTGCTCTTTCATATTTAAGTTCATCCATCTGAAATTTATTTTGTGGCTCGTTTGAGGTAGAAATAGAAGTTTTTAATTGTGATAACGAATTACCCCACACTATTTATAGGCAGCCCTTTCCACACTTGTTTGAAATGTTGCCTCTGGCTTATTCAAGTTCCTAGAATCCCAAGAGTCTGTCTCTGGAGTCTCTCTTCTCTTCTTTTGGTGAATTTGTCTATTTCTGCACCAAATCACACTGTTTTGATCACTATAGGCTTATAATAAGGGGTACATCATATATGGCAGTCATCTCCTTTTTCAGTTTCTTCTTCAAATATTGACTATTATACTTAACCCTCTTTTTCCCCCCATGTGAAAAGCTCTATTAGAATTTTGATTAAAATTATATCTTCCCATTTATAATATAGTCTATCTATTTCTTCTGGCCTTTTTTTTTTTTTGCCCTTCAATAAAGATTTTGTGTGTCTTTTCTTAGATTTATTAGTTTTTGTTGCTATGGGGAATGGTATTTCTTTTTTTTTTCTTTTTTTTTTCGGCTGCGTTGGGTCTTCGTTGCTGCACGCGCGCTTTCTCTAGTAGCGGCGAGCGGGGGCTTCTCTTCATTGTGGTGGCTCCTCTCGTTGTGGAGCATGGTCTCTAGGCGTGTGGACTTCAGTAGTTGTGGCACGTGGGCTCAGTAGTTGTGGCGCACGGCCTTAGTTGCTCCACGGCATGTGGGATCTTCCCAGACCAGGGATCGAACCCTTGTCCCCTGCATTGGCAGGAGGTTTCTTAACCATTGCGCCACCAGGGAAGTCCCGGGATCTTTCTTTCTATGGCATTTTCTAATCTAATTGACTGTTTCTGATATAAAGGGATGTTGATGGTTTTTGCTAAATGATATTGTTTCGAGCAACCTCATGAACATTCTTAATAGTTCTAAAAGTTTCTTGGTAGATTATCTCATACTTTATGTGTAAACATTCATACTATCTGCATATAACTAGAGGTTTGTCTCTTTAAAAAAAAATTCTTGAGCTTCCCTGGTGTTGCCGTGGTTAAGAATCCGCCTGCCAATGCCGGGGACATGGGTTCGAGCCCTGGTCCGGGAAGATCCCACATGCTGTGGAGCAAATGTGGGCTCAGGTTGTGGCGCACGGCCTTAGTTGCTCCACGGCATGTGGGATCTTCCCAGACCAGGGATCGAACCCTTGTCCC